TCCCGAGCTACCCCAAGTAGGTATTCTGAGTTCCCTATCGATACTTCACTCGTATAAGTTCCCTATCGATACTTCGCTCGGCTGCGGTGCTGCACGAACCTATGGCCACGAAGCCCGCCTAAGGGGCGGGGCCATCTGGCTATATAAGCGGCCGCTTCACCATAGGATTCAGATTAATTCTCCTTCAGTGACGACGATCATCTCTTCGCTGTTCTACGAGACTGGAAGCCGCTCGCCATTGACACGCCTCGCTACGGACAGGAGAGCTGATTCAGAAACCTGCACCGCTCTGCTGATCTCGCTCCGCATTTCCAGCCCGAGCCGCTTTCAGCGTCCGCGCAGCTCTCAGCTCGTCCCCTGCTGCTATCCAGTGAGTTCTAAAAAAGCACATTTCTAAAGAGCAAATTTCTAGCGACGTTGTTGCAAATGTCACATACTACGGCTATGTGTAGTAAATGCCGCTCCATCTGAAAGCACGTTCTGGAGATTTACTACTAATCACAGAACCGGCTTTACTGACGAGATGCGCATGAAATCGCATTCGATTATTTGCACAGCCCTATCTCTACTACTAGTTTTTGTGTATTCAATACTAGCCTTTTTCTGCAGCGCTACACGGACCTGTTCTGTTTTCTGACTTTTTAGGTTTGACCACCCCAGCTAAGTCGGGGCCTCCTGCTCTTGATTTTTGTTTCTGCGGAAACCCCTCTTGTATGCTTCTGCTCTGAGGAGCAGTAAGCTCTGTACGCATGAATGGTTATTGGGTCCCGCTATTTCTTCAGATTCTATCAGGTCAGGTTATACGGCACCCACACTCTCTATCGAGATAGAGAGCATGAGACCGTGTCCAGTTGCACCAGTGGACTGTCTCTTATTGGACCCTGCTGGGTTACCCCTTCTAATCTAGCACCTCCTTCTAGTCAAGCTGAGAAGTGCTCCCCTCACTGTGAGGGTTAGCTCTGAGTCGCTCCCAGTATGTGCTGTAAGGGCCCGTCTTAGCTTGAGAGCCGAGAGCGCTGCTCCCGAAAAACCCTATTTGCAACGAACTGAGTGTTAGGCCCGTCTCTGTCGCCTCCTTGGCCAGTTGCCTTTATTTTGGGACCCTGTTGTTCCCTGTAGAAATGTATGATCCCCTTCCAGCAGGATCCTATTTTTGATGTCCCATTTGCGATCTATCTGCTCCCCGGACATGGCTGTGCTCCCCTCACTGCTGGAGGGTCCCTTTGAGCTCGCTGGTCCTGGGCAGACTGGGTGAGTCCTTCTCTCGACTTCAGAGTTACATTCTCTGACCCTGGGCTATTGATCGCTTCGGTCAAACTGGGTTCCTCTCTCTCCTCGTTAGGGGTTGAACCCTCCGCTGTTGAGCTCCGTGGCAGTGACATCAGGTAGTTGGGCCGCTTGCTGCTTGCCTGATTAGCTGCCTCTATTTGGGTCAAGCCAGGCAGTGCTCCCCTCACCTTGGAGGGTTGTATTTGAGCCTGCCGCTCCCGATTGAGCGTCTGTGGACTTCTCTCATCGAGTCCTCAGCTCGTTTGAGCTCCATTGAGTAGCAGCCTCAGGTTGTTAGGCCTCTCGCCGCCTCCCTGTAGAGCTGCTCTCCTTGTGGGTTGAGCTTAGCAGTACCCTTGGGGGTTTCATATGAGCACGCCCCTCGATCTGAGCGTCCGAGTCCCCCTTCTATTTTTGAAGTTGGGCCTCCACTCCTTTTGGCATGATTGCTCCGGATAGCAATCATGCCAGGCGGCTGGGCCATCTCCTGCCTCCCTGGCGGGTTGCTTGTTAAGTGAGCTAGCTGTGCTCCCCCCACCATGAAGGGCCTCTTGCAAGCACGCCACTCTCTTCTGGGCATCTGTGAGCAGATGCTTCGGAGTCTGTTCTGTGAGCTTGCCACAGTCACGTAGGGCTCCGAGGCTGGTTTAATACAGCTTTGGTTATCCCTTAAGCAACAGTGTTTCTAAATCCATGCTATGGTAAGTGCACATGCTGAGCTTCTGTGCACTTTCTAAAATCCACATTATGGAAAGTGTGCACGCTAAGCATTCTGCGCACTTTCTAAAATCCTTTTATGGTAAGGGTTACGCGATGTCAGCCTCGTTCCCTTTCTCTGAGTTGGTTTAGGCCCCGGTTCTCGCCTTGGGCTCCACTCAACTTATGTATCTCTGTTGATACATTTCTGAGCAGGGTGTTGCTACCAAAGATCTGTCGAGTCAGTTATTTGAGCAGGTTTATTCAGAACTGGCGGTACTCTCCCTGGGTGGTAGGCCAGGGTCTGGTTTGGTTTTTAGACACCTAGCCGTATCCCCTTAAAGGAATCTCTTTCTTCTGATTCCAAGCCTTGAGCTCTGCCCTAGGCTTGGGCTTCCTAGCCCAGCCCTTAACAGGTAAGTTCCTTTAGGGTATATAATGGACTGGAGTCATGTGGAATCGATTACTTGTGTATTATTCTGATGTTTTAATCCGTTTTTTTAACTCTGACTATTATTTGAACTCTGCACCCATTCACTGCAGATGATCCATTAGTGATGTAATGCTACATTTCTCCAGCCCATTCAGATGAAGAAACAAATGCATCTACATGATGGCCTGAGGGTACTTTTTCATCAAATGTTTCTTTTTGAGTGTCACTGAAATACACCAGTGCTAAATACAAGTCATAAATCACTTTAGATTTGCAATGTTGTAACTCTTGAAATACATTTGACTGACACAACAAAACAATATTAAAAGTTATATAATTATGTAACATTTTAAAATGTTTAAACATTGAAAGATACACTGTGTAATAGTGTTATGTAAAGGTACAGTAAGCAATTTCTGAGAAACGCTGTTGATATTTGAAATCACCAAAACAAACATGCCCCTGACCAAAAACATCACACCCCTATCTTGTTAGCTCCGCCCATACTTGTGATTGGCCACAATGTGTGTTTTGGTGCTCAGTCCCATTCACTTTCAACAGCACTTCTCAGAAATCACTTACTGTACCTTTAAGTTCTATGACGTCATAAAGAGCCTCAGAAGCATTTAGAACATTTAGAAGATGTGAGTGGATGTACCTGTGGAAGATGCAGTTCTCTGTAGAAAAGGCTACAGTTTCACGTGCCGACCTCTCGGCCTCAAGCTCGTTTAGTCGGTAGTAGTTGCCCCCCTGCTGAGCTGTGGTGGTCTGTGGGTGTGCAGAGGATCGTGCGGAGTCATAACAAAGACTATAGAAATACAAAGTTGGTTCATTCCTATACTTATGAATGGGAGAAACTGCAACGTGCAATATGGAGGAAGAGTCCCGCCTTCTAAATGAAAGAGCCAATCGCTGATTGGTAAAGTTATTGCGTCACTGCAGTGGTCGTTAGAATCTCCGGTTCCCATAGAAACCTGAGGCTAGACCAGCCAATGTGCATGCGCAGTCATAAGCGCGTTATATCTGTGCATGCGCATTGGCTGGTCTGGCCTGAAAAATAAGCTTTGTAAACTCTATTTGAGCATTAGAAACAACATTCAAGGGGCAGTTCATTTCAGATTTTGTTGCTGATGTGAAATATGCAATTTAATTGTGAGTTCATAGGGCAGTTTTTGAGATCTCAGGATTCCCCTATTCATTTAGATAGGACTTGGTCTTGTTTGAGCTGCCCGGAGGCGTTGCAAATATGGCCGCTGAGTGAACAGACTTTCCTTGAAAGGGACTTTATTAGTAGTAACTGATTGATGTGATGTAGTGTGTTGTGTGGTGGGGGGTGTGCGTGATTGACAAACAAGGGCGAGGTGGTTATTCTCTCCTGTCAAATGAACTTTAATTGATTATGGCAACCGGACCCGACCCCGCCCATCACAATTAATAGCTGTTCATCACTGTTTGCACCTGCTATAAACCATATTTATTTGAAATAGAAACAAAAAGCGTACCTAAAATTCTGTCAAGATATTGAAAAAAAGTTTTTGTTTTTTTTCAAATGACACTTGACATGTAGGCTAATAAACTCTGCTGAAACTATGTGTTGTCTTGATTTAAACACTTCATAGTCATGGTATAAGATGCTTAAAAACAGCAAGATGCAGTAGTCTTCAGTCTGCATGCTTACATTAAAGATAGGCTACTGATAAATACACAAATGTTCCTCGGATTTGATTGCACTCCTGCGAACTGTAGACAGACCATTGACATTCAAAGATATGAAAATAAACGGCTTTTAATGAAAATAAACATTGAAGCTTTTTATGATCTTTGTAATCTTTATTTTGGAAGAAAGCTGCATTTACAAAATGAAACGTTGTACAAACTGCGCAAAAATAATGACACAGGCTATGCCTGAAAAAGTCTATAGTAAGCTACTTACAGCATTTCCAGTGTCTACAATGCTTACTAACATCCCAGACGTTCTCTAGGATATTATCAGTTAAAAAACAGTGTTGAATATGGTAGGCTAATTAACGCCAGAACAGGGTCGCAAAAATTATATTTTCAGCCATCACTCAGTAATGTTAGTCGGTTTGTAGTTATTAATCAATTTCAAAGTTCCATAAATGAAATACAAATAGAGATTGCTTTTAATAATAATAGGGTTAACTGGTAAATGTCCACGCAGAGCGCGTTCCTGTGTTGGTCCCTTCTGTTTTTATTTATTTAATTATGTATTTACATACACAACATATTTGGCCGATGCATTAATGTCTATAATAGCGGATTTTAATATGCAAAGACAACGAAATCGCACCTGTGAGAAGAAGCTGCTGCTGAGGGGAAGCCGCTGAGTCGCTGACATACAACTTCTGACATCAATATTTGCATCAGCATTTGCATATTTGCGTCCATCAATCACAATGACCGAGATGTGAGCGTTTACTCTGGGAAGAGAGACAAAGGAATTCGAGAGAGCGATTGATCGGCAGCTCGACCATAAAATATTAAGAATAATTGGAAAAAGGCAAAGACACAAACAAACTTTTGGGCTTATATGAAGTTGTCGTGCTGATCTTGTAAAGAGTTTATTGCGCTTTTGAGAAATATGGTCGATGGAGAAAACGAAGTGGCACCCTTGCCTCGACACAGATTCAGGGATTTTTTGCTTCGAGAACAGACACGGCAAAACGATGCCAAGTAAGTGCTTCTAGATTCCTCCGTGTTGTCGAATGGCTCAAAATTGAAATCCTTATATATTTTTATATTGTTGTGTTCAAAAACAATGTGCTAACTGTATTATATAACTCCAATGTGATGAAGTGCAGAAATAGAAAATCAGAGCATCACATTTTAAGAAGTATTTATGAGAGATAACAATCATTCCTATTGTTTAAGCAGTTGGCTAATTCTGTGCTTGGCCGTACAGGGTGCAGGTTGACTTCTATGTCAAAGAGAATAGTTTCAAAGAACGCCTGCAGTTTTACTTCATCAAAAACCAACGATCCAGTATGTCTCAGATTTATTTCTCTTTACACTTTATTTTCCTGTTAAATTCTCAGATCTTAAAATTATGTTTCTTGTTTCCATAATACAAGGAATTCAAAACATAATAAAAATATATTTTTAAAGAACATTGTTTAATTTCACACTGGTCTAAAATTAAATGCAGTTATAAATAATATTTTAAAATGTGTGTTTTGTTCCATATTTATGTTCCAAAAATCTCACTTGTTGAGTGCATGTGATCACATGCTTTATTTATTACCCGTGTCTAAAATGGTTTATAAACACTGTTTTTGTATTATTCAGGTCTCAGGGTGCGAGTGTTTTATCTTTCGCTCGAGGTGTTAAGCTGCATTTTGTATATATCCAGAGTGCTGAAGGACTCAAGTGAAGCTGAATATAAATGGTATTTTTTTTTTATTGTTGTAATTTCTTGTCTCTAATTCCTTATACACAGTCTGAAGGACAATACAATAAAACATCTGGCCCAAGTTGAATGAGTTATGTAAAACAAAACTAGAAAAGAAATACATTGCCTCATTATATAAAAGTAACTTCTGATATTCCGATTACTACATTTTTCTAATGACTTAAAAATGACTGTTCCATATTGATATTTGATATTTCATCTCTCCTCATAGCTTGGACGTCTCATGCAAAAATTATACCCTGTTTGAAATCAACTGGTATGTAGTTCCAATGAACTATAAACAGAAATTTAATATAAAATTGCTCTGATTTATTCGTTTGCACCATTTTAATAACCCTGTATTGTTACCAGGGCCTCAATTATTTGGGTTCACCGATGTCCCATACTTTGGCATGCACAGGTAGTCTTGCAGATAAATCTTGTAATATCCAACCATTTCTGACTTTTCTGAGTATTTTTGGATTATTTTGTGCAAGGTTTGTGTTATGGAACCGATATAAGGTTATTAATAATCATTAGAATATTCATTGGTGTTTGGTGTATGTATTTAAGAGTTATTTTCTTTAGGTGTCTGTTGCAGTCATATGTTTATTCATAAGAATCCTGCTGACATATCTACGATACAAGGTATGATTTTTCTATTTTATTTATTTATTATTATTTTTGTATTTTCTAAGCTTTGTCTCAGATGTTAGTTTACAAGAAGCATTATCTGAATGACCCTGAAACCATGGTGCAAAATTAACAAGTAATACAGGCAACGTAATGATATATTTTCCATGCAAGTATATTGATAACATCTGTGATCATTCTGTTTGTTTGTGCTCTCTCTAATGATCTAGGGAAACATATGGCAGCAGGTACTTCAAATAGCGTTCATCTTGGAAATGATTGACACTGTGCCCTTTGTGATTGGAGTAAGTATATAATTGAAAAACTGTTGACACAAACAATTGACACTAATAGTGCCGTGATGTTGGTACTGCCACATCTAAACACAGTTCTTTCCGATCTAAAGATTATATAAAGATCGATTTAAGGCATAATCCATTAATATGTTCATCTGGTCTTCTTTTATTATCAGTGTTTGCTAAAGCAATGATATCTTGTACTTAAGCTTATGCATAGGGTTAGAGATTTTCCTAAATATTAACTATCCAGAAACCAGAATATCATGAAGACTCCTTTTGACTTGGGCTTATAATTAATCACCTAGAATACAACATAGCAACACCCTAGCAACCACCAGAACACCCTAGCAACGACATAGCAACTCCCTGGCAACTATCCTGCCTGAACAACCTAGTAACCACATAATAAGGCCCTGACAACCACCCAGACTACCCTAGCAACTGCATAGCAACACCCCGGTAACCACTCTGAACAACCTAGGAACCACTAAACAACTCCATGGCAACTACCCTAAATGCCTTAGCAACCAAATAGTAATACCCTGGCAACCACCCAGACCATGCTAGCAACCACATAGCAACACCTTGGCAACCATTCTGCCTGAACAGCCTAGCATCCACAAAGCAATGCCCTGGCAACCACCAGGAACACCCTAGCAACCACATAGCAATGCCCTGGCAACTGCCCAGAACACCCTAGCAACCACAAGCAACTACCCTGCCTGAACAACCTAGCAACCACATAGCAACACCTTGGCAACCATTCTGCCTGAACAGCCTAGCATCCACAAAGCAATGCCCTGGCAACCACCGGGAAGATCCTAGCAACCACATAGCAATGCCCTGGCAACTGCCCAGAACACCCTAGCAACCATAAGCAACTCCCTGGCAACTACCCTGCCTGAACAACCTAGCAACCACATAGCAATGCTCTGGCAACCATCCTGAACAGCCTAGCATCCACATAGCAATGCCCTGGCAACCACATACTGTAGCAATGCCCTGGCAACTGCCCAGAACACCCTAGCAACCATAAGCAACTACCCTGTCTGAACAACCTAACAACCACATAGCAACACCCTGGCAACCAACCCATAAAACCCTAGAAAACACAGAGCAATGCCCTAGCAACTACTCTGAACACTCTAACAACCACACACAACTCCCTGGCAACTACCCTGCCTGAACATCCTAGCAACCAACTAGTAATGCCCTGGCAACCCCCAAGACTGTCCTAGCAACCACACAGCAATGCCCTGGCTATTTATACTGAATATATGAAACATTAAAGACAAAAATGATTTTGTACTGTGGGATGTTTTGAGTTAATTGAATTCCCTATGTATAATAACCTTGTTAAAGCTCATCTATGTTCTTCCAAACTTACTTTGACTGAGCACTGTGAAGTGTTTTTACATATAATATAATTTCTTATCAGTGTTATCACTGTCAGACTTCCAAAATCCTGCATATCTTGAATTAAGATTATAGTAATTTAATTTTACAGTAATTTAATTAGTCACCATGAAATCAGAGTTTAACACTTCATTTTACTTTGAGACTATTCTGATTGTTGATTTTTACATTTTCAGCACTGGAACGCATTTTTATCACTCACCATGGAGGCAACTTTCAGACAAGCTTTCAGCGGCAATGTGAATTGATGTAATTGGCAGATGTGCTGCGCTGCAAATTAAACAAGAGAACCCATCAAAAGCATTAGAATAGCATTGCATTACTAAATGGCCTTTGCATGGCAGGAGGCATTGTGCACATCAAAAACAGGCAAAGCAGCAAATTAATATTATCCAGCATATAGCTTTTTGCAGAAAATATTCAGATTTAATCTTCTTTATAATCGTTAACATTTTCTCAGTAACTGTAATGGATTACAGTTACATTTATTTTGTAATTAAATTATGTAAAGCCGTTACATGTAACTAGTTACTACCCAACACTGTTTTTTATGGATTACATTTGTATTTTGGTGAAATGCTTCAGTTTTTTCAAAAAATGTAATGGTTGCTCTTTGTTGTAACAGATTTTTTATTGTCCTTTCCGAAACCTCTTCATTCCTGTGTTTCTGAACTGCTGGCTGGCAAAACGTGCTTTGGAAAACATGGTTGTGAGTATATATTTGGAAGAAAGTATCAAAAATTAATATATATCTAAAGTTAAAACTGTAGATGGCACAGTCCAATAGGTCAACTCAATCGGACATAATAACGTCATTATCACATGGCGCAGCTGATTGGTTCTCTTTTGTATCAGCAGCCAATGAGATTGCTGCTCAACATTCAAATACTTGGCTAGTGCTTGCTGTAGCAGTTGCAGCGTGCTTCATTAACCCTCCACCTCCCCCAGCTCCACCTGTGTAGATCTGCTATAGAGTGATCATGTATGCTATATATGGAGGTTATTTCATATATGTTATATGTGCAGCAGCAGTATTTCCTACATGCTCATAGCAGCATGTTGTGGATGTATTGGCAGTAGTAAGTCTCTGTACTTGCTCTGCAGCAGCAGCAGCATAGCAGATCTATTCTACCAAGACTAAACACATTAACATTGCCATGTACATTACCATGCTAAAACCTGTGAGAGTTGTCATAACAGAAATATATTGACATATTTTTCTCTGTGGCTTTCAGAATGATCTTCATCGTGCTATTCACCGGACACAGTCAGCCATGTTCAATCAGCTCCTCATCCTCATCTCCACCATCATCTGCCTCATTTTCACTTTGTGAGTCAGCCAAATATCCACTCACATATAAGCAACACACAAATTCGACCCTAAACTGCTTGTCAGACAGGATTTCCCAACAACTGTGTCTCCTAGTCTTAATCAGTGTTCGCTTTCGTTTGGCTTAGACTGCAGTATTAGCCACGCAGCATGATCAGGGTCAGAAACAGATTGAACTCCAGCTCATTTTCTGTGGTTTCTGCTTTTAGAGGGAGAAGCACTTACTCACCACAAATGTACTTGTCCATCCATGCTCACATCCTTATTAATCCCTGGTGTGTTGCCATGCTAATTGTAAAATAGAGTGGCTCTAAAAAGTGTTTGGACATTTAAAGAATACATTACACAAACATAGGCATCCAGGGGTGTTGCAATTGAGGGGAAAAGGGGGAAGAAATGCATAGGGCCCAGAGCCTGAGAGGGGCCCCAACTTTGCAAATGGTTACAGAGAAAAACTAGGCTTCATACACTTATAGGGATAGTTCACACAAAAATACAAATTCTGTCATCAATTACTCACGCTCATGTCATTCCAAACCTGTGTCATCTTCGTTCATCTTCGGAACACAAATTAAGATATTTTTGACGAAATCCGAGAACTCTCTGACCCTCCATATACAGCAAGAGTCCTACCATGGTCAAGTCACAGATACATAGTAAGGACATGTTAAAATGCTCCATCTGACATCAGTGGTTTAACCGTAATTTTATGAAGCTACGAGAAGCATCACGCACATACCACATCGTGGTAGGGTGACATGGAGGAGAAGAATTGTTTAATAAATTAGTTATTTTTGTTTTATTTTGCGCACAAAAAGTATTCTCGTAGCTTCATAAAATTACGGTTGAACCACCGATGTCACATTGACCAGTTTTTTTTACTACATTTCTGTGCCTTGACTGTGATAGGACCCTTGCTTTCTATGCAGGGTCAGAGAGCTCTCGGATTTCATCAAAAATATCTTAATTTGTGTTCCAAAGATGAACGAAGGTCTTACGGGTTTGGAACAACATGAGGGTGAGTAATTAATGACAGAATTTTCATTTTTGGGTGAACTATCCATTTAACGACTGAGGATCACACAATACCAGTTTTTTTAAGTCATTCTGAACACAGTAACTCATGGAGAAACATTATTTGCCCTAAACTTAGGCCATTTACACCTGGTATTAAGATGGGTTTTTGTCAATCTGATTACAAGTGTACAACGCTAAATACAGGTGTAAACCGGGTCTGAAAATCTCAGTATCCCTCTATTAAGCTTAACATTAAGCAAGCTAGTCTGGTATTGATGTAAAATGGCATCATGCAAGGTCAGAAATACCACCAAAATAAAATAATAATAATAATAATAAACTGCCCCTGTATGAATTCTTCAAATTTTTTGTATTTATAACATTTAGAGTTAAACAATATCATACAAGCAAGAGTGCTATTTTCTAGAATAGAAACACATTTTGCACTTTGCAAATGTGATATTCGTTTTAGATGACAGTTGAATACACTATAAATTAATTATATTAAATTTACTATTGTTAGATACAACATTGTTAATTTGGACTCTTTTTGCTCTAATTTGCCAGCAAAAATAGTTCCAAACTAAGCAAAATAGTTGTGTCTCTCAGCAACACATAGTGGAGTTTTGTTTTTGAATGATTCATTTCTTTTGAGCAAATGATTTAATGACCCATTCGTAAAGACGTAAAGTTTGAACGAATTGGTTGAATGAATGATTCTATGATTAAATTAAGACTTGCTGCCACCTACTGGCTGTTTAGATTCGTATGTACAGGTAATAGTGTAATTTCATTTTCTATTTCTATTCATTTTTTTTTTAAATATATACTTAAAATTATATATTTAGAACATTAATCTCATACAATTATTAATGGAATTGTAATTGATGTGTAAATGGATTTTGATAAATGATAATAAGGATTTTCTTCATACTGATTTCATTTATTTGGTATAATAGCCCTATATTGTATAGTGATAATTAGAGTATATTAAGTAATTAAAAAGAGAGAGGTGTCCTTTTTAGGTTAGTGGTACAGTAATACTGATGTAATGAAGTCACTGTATGTTTGTAAGTAATTTACAACGACTTTGAATGCGGCTCAGCCAATCAGAATCAAGGACCAGAACTATCCTTTTTATAACATGATTTTCTGTGAAAATCTGACTTTCAGCAACTAGTGTCGGCACTAAAATAACTGGGCAAAATGTGCATATTGTATTCCAGCCTTAAACCACAATTTAAATATTTGTCTGAATGTTTAAAAATAAGACAAAAAGTATGGGAACTGTTTGAACTTGAGGAGAACTAATGTCATGCATCCACTAAAAATCACCAAAACACCAGTTGGTTCGTTCAGAGAAAAGCTCTAGCATAATTGTTTTTCAGATAACATATCTGCAGATTATCTGCTGTAGACCTCAGCAACATTAACTTTCTTTTTGTTGTCAACATATTGGAGGTTTTTCTTTTATCTCAGGACTAAAGCAATATACTAATTGCTCTGTGGTCAAGTGTTCATCATTAGAAATCCACAGACAGCACTACACGATCACCATTACACTGCCAGTAAGTGCATCTCAACGCTTTTAGAGGAGATTTTCACAAGCTGTTTGCTCATAGACTTGGTGTCATTTCGAGGGCTAATGCAGACAGAGAGTCGGAGCAAAAGATCTTTGTCATTTCCTAATCGCATCACTTCATTATGACCATTTGCCATATAAGTCAATGTGTGATGGTTTTACCCAGAAATGGAGCATGCATATCTCACGTCTCTTCATAAACAAATATTTCTGCATATATGCATATACAAATATTTTTGTGCATCATGCATGTAATATATAACATGGTCAGTTTACATGCATTATGGCCATCATGCTGATTTTATGCTGCTTTTGTCAGCATTTACTGATTTTGTCTCTGTGCAAAGTTCATAAATAACTTTGAAACATCATATTGAATTGAGTGATTCATTTTAAACTCTACATATGTGACCCTGGACCACAAAACCAATGACTGGGTCGATTTTTTCGAAATTGAGATGTATACATCATCTGAAAGCTGAATAATTAAGCTTTCCATTGATGCATGGTTTGTTAGGATAGGACAATATTTGGCCGAGATACAACTATTTGAATATCTGGAATCTGAGGGTGCAAAAAAAAATAAAAATAGAGAAAATCACCTTTAAAGTTGTCCAAATGAAGTTCTTAGCAATGCATATTACTAATCAAAAATTCAATCATGAATAGAGAAAATAAAGAACAGTATATCCATATGAAATCATGAGAGGTCAACAGTGGCATTGCTTTTCATTAACGACTTGCTAAAATCATACTAATGAAAAGCAAATCCATGATCAAGATTGATCAAAATTGCATCATTCAAGAATATGCAGAATATGCACAGCGAAATGAAAATGTTGTATTGCAGGACTGTGTTGCAGTGAAAGTTTCAATTCTCTTCCATAAGGAGTACAATTTGTAAACATATAAGACATTAATACATATATTACTGTAGTATACAGTCTCTCATTTGCTGCAGACCTAACATGGACTCCTTTGTGTTGTCTGCTTTTGTTAATTTGTTCCTCCTTTCTCCAGCATTTGTGGTGTTGAGCACTTGCAGCGTGCTGGAAAAAAAGTCACAGTTTTTGACTCTTTCTACTTCTGCATCGTGACATTCTCTACAGTGGGGTTTGGAGATGTCCTTCCTGATGTCTGGCCCTCCAAGTTGCTGGTTGTTATTATGATATTTGTGGCTTTAGTAGTCCTGCCTATCCAGGTAAGCTTGCCTTGATACTAAACTCTAAAACAGCAATGGATAACAACCATTGTAGACCATATATAGCATGATATACTATGGAAAAATGGATTTAATGGATAAAGCCACATTTATTCTCACTTTATTATTAAAGTAAGAGCAGTCATAACTTGTAACTTGAATGTTTTTACTTTTAAATTTTAAAGGGTTAGTTCACCCAAAAATGGCTTCAAAATGTTTATACACTTAATACCTAAATCCCATGAGGGATGTCTCGGAAGAACTATAATCTGCAGCCACTGTCACTGCAATGTCATTAAAGAATGAGAGCTAATGCAGTGCATTATGGTGTTAGTTTGAGGAGCTGGCCTACTTGTGGATGGAGCGGCAGAAGTCAGGAGGAGATTACAGCAAGCAAAGAGCAGAAACCGAGAGACACGTGGTGCTGTGTGTCAGTTCAGTCAAAATCGACCTGCTGATGGATTTCCTAAATGAGTTTTATGCTCACCCCATACTTCAGGTACATAACAAAAATAAAATATAGCTGCAAGCAGCAATTATCAGGGTTCAGGCACTTTAAGGCCTTCATGCGCAATTGTAAAACGATATTGCGTATTATTTAGCAAGCTTGTAACCACCTAAATCAGCAATGAAAAAGACCAATTTCAGCAAAATCATGTCATTTGCCATATAAATACAGCATTTTTCACTTTTATATAACAGTTATAATGCCACCTATGGACCGATCTCCATAAAATGTTGCATGCTTCTATAGAATCATATATTGCATGTGCTTAGCTGATTTCGTGAATTGAGTTTTCGTTTAGGATTTAAAGGATTTTGTGTACAATTGGCTATGCCTATATTCTAAATGATCTGGTTATAGCTATCCAAAGGCTAAATTTCTAAAGTATTGACCTAGAGAGTCTAAAGAGTAGTTCACAAAAGTAGTTGTTGTTTTTTTTATCTCAAATATTTAACCAGCTGATTTCGTGAATTGAGTTTTCGTTTCAGGATTTAAAGGATTTTGTGTACAATTGGCTATGCCTATATTCTAAATAATCTGGTTATAGCTATCCAAAGGCTAAATTTCTAAAGTATTGACCTAGAGAGTCTAGAGAGTAGTTCACAAAAGTAGTTGTTGTTTTTTTTATCTCAAATATTTAACTGATTGACAGCAGTGGTTCCAGAGGCAAAGTTGTTCAAAATGAGGAGAGCTATCATATGGTATGAGTATTGTGTGTATGTGTGAAACACCTCATGATTACAGTAGCAATCACAAGATACACAAATGTCCTGACATACAGTAATGGCATTTAGGACAAAGACACGGCATGACAGCTTTCAAGTCGATTGGACAAAGGATGGTGTAGTTATAGCCATTTTTATGTTTTTCTATTTTATAGCAGCACCAAGTGGCCAATCGCCATGAACCAATACTTATGAGAACCTAATTTGGTAAATAACTCATTCTGTTCAAGAGTTTTTAGTAAAAGTAGCCCCGCCCACTTTGTACATTTTAGCCCCCCCCCTAGCGAAAATGAATGGAAAATTCATTTTTTTCTACTAACTTTTGATATTCGAACTCCAGAGAATCTTTCAGCCCTGGTTTGGTTCCAATTGGGCAAAAAACCTAGGACTAGTTTGCAAAAGTAGGTTTTGTGAAAAATTCAAAATGGCAGAAATTTTTTCAAACTTCATTTATTCTGTCTGTTTGCCGCTGTTGTCTTCCAGGAGTACTATGTCATCATCCTTTGCCCAGCAGAGCAGGATGCGGCGGTGAGACGGGTGCTGCGGATCCCGATGTGGTCACACAGAGTCATATATCTGCAGGGCTCTGCTCTCAAAGATCAAGATCTGGTCAGAGCAAAGTGAGTTGGAAGACATTTATGTTTATCTGCTGCGATATCTTGAGCCTTTTTAACACATCCCACATATACACTGGGCTTCTGCTGTGCAACTGCTGCCATATATAGAAAATACCAAGCTTTCTGGGTTAACAAGCTGAGTATTTCTTTTAAAAACAGACATAAATTATAAATGATCATATTTGAATTTTTTTGTTGAGTGGGCAGTCGAGAGATATATTTCAAACTTGATCTAATTTTCATTGGGAATCACATTTACATGGAACAGAGCCCAAATGCCAAAGTGTTGCCTTAAAGGATTTAATCATCCAAAAAAATAAAAATTAAAAATCTAATCAGTATTTTTGAGATAAAGATTGTGTTAGATATCAAGACTTAAATACATTTTTCTGACACTGTAGCAAAACTGGGTTAATCATTATTTAACAGTGTCCTTGTTACAGTGTAATTGTACATTTAACCCATACAGAAAACATATATTTTTAATATATTTAAAATATTTAAAAAATTGCCAAAATATTTTAGCTAAAATATGTTCCAAAATATATTTATGCACATATATTTTCAAATATATTTTAGATTTTTAAATATGTTTTTGGCCATTTTTGTGTATTTTTAAAAATGTATTTTAACAATATAAATATATATTCCCTCCGTATATTTCAATTAAAAAAAAGTACATTCACATGTCACATATGAAGAAAAAGCATAGAACACATTTTGATAAAAATCAGCAAGGAACGTACTTTATAATGTTCCATTTTTTTTTACAATGTACTGTATATATTTTTGGAAAATATTTTGGAATATGAAGATTGAAACTAAATATATTTTCAATTTCACAAATATATTTAATTGAGATCCACTGCTTATAACATATATTTAGCATGCATTTTGGCCAGGAAAAAAAAAAAGTTGCCTGTAAGTATGCATAATTTACTGTTATTACTATAGTACATATAGTACATGCAACGTGTAACAAAGACACTGCAAAATAAAGAGTTACTCAAAATCGTTTATAAAGCTAACTAAATTGAAAAGGTTTACATTTTAAACAATTAAAGAAATGCCAATGGTATAAGAAACTTAATGCAAGATATTCTCTGAAAACAAGTCTTTTCACACAGGCTGGGTAATGCTGAGGCTTGTTTCATTCTGACCTGCCGCTGTGAGGCTGACCGCAATGCAGCAGTATGTATTACTGAGATTTTTCATCAAAAAGTGAAGAAATGCAAAATTATGATTAAAACATTTAAAGCATTATTGTTAAAGGAGTCATATACTGCCTTTTCTTTTTATTTTGTACTGTTCTTTGTGGTCCACTTATAATGTTATTAAGATTTTTACATCAAAAAACATAATTCAGAAGTAGTTGACCCCCCTCATTATAACGCTCTGTTTGAATAGGCATGGCAGATTGTGGACTCTGAAGTAAATGTCCAGAAGAATAAGCTATGATTGGCTTGTGTATGTTTGACAGCTTACATCCTTCATAGATGGACGTTGCTGTGATTTAGGTTAAAAACGCATAAATACTCGGTACATGTCAAACAATCTGTAATAACAGACGAAGCAATAGTGATCACGTAATAAAAACACACACTTACTCACACTTGTGTGGTGTGACATTACTGTCGGATCCAATATAGTCGGTACAGCATCGTCTTTTAGTTTCAATCTTTATGAAAGTCCTGCCTTATTTGTAAACGAATCTGCAGTAAAATGAAGTGAACAAAGTCCTTACTGACGTGGTCTGGAACTTCTTTAAAAATGAAGTTCATTAAATAAAGTTTATCGATTTTTTTTTTCTGCGTATACCTGTGTTTGCCGCTCTTATCATTTACCTACTACGTGTGCGAATCAGTGGGCGGGGCTAAACAGGCAGTGATGTAGAAGCAGGTGTTGATCATCTTCTGCGGAGGCGGTGTTTATCCACACTATTACGTCATAAATTGGCACATTCCATAAGCTGTCGTTTTGGCAGACAGACTTCAGTGTAAGCTATTTTTAGTCTAACGAAAAAGTTTTGAGTTCTGAAACTTACAGGATGTTTTTATAGCACAATGACCTCTTATATGTCAAAAGATCAAGGGAATTTTGATTTCTCAGTTCATGACCCCTTTAAGTCATCAGTGAAGGGATGGGAAATGAATATAGAATGGTTTTTTTAGAGCTATATTTATGATAATTTCTATGAATATTCCACTTTTAATAACTTATTTGTTTCTTCTCAGGATCACCAGACCATCCTGAGGGCTTTTGCAGTGAAGGACTTTGCTCCAAGCTGCACTCTTTTTGTTCAGATTCTCAAACCAGAAAACAAATTTCATGTGAAATTTGCAGGTACTGTTAAATCAGTCTTTGTAGGTGATTCCAGAACATTTCAAACAATGTACGAATGCAGCGAAAGACATTGACACAGATATTTCTCAACACAGCTGTACTGCTATTTCACCCTTCAGATCATATTGTTTGTGAGGAAGAGTTTAAATACGCTATGCTGGCCCTGAAACAATCTGTAATAACAGACGAAGCAATAGTGATCACGTAATAAAAACACACACTTACTCACACTTGTGTGGTGTGACATTACTGTCGGATCCAATATAGTCAGTACAGCATCGTCTTTTAGTTTCAATCTTTATGAAAGTCCTGCCTTATTTGTAAATGAATCTGCAGTAAAATGAAGTGAACAAAGTCCTTACTGACGTGGTCTGGAACTTCTTTAAAAATGAAGTTCATTAAATAAAGTTTATCGATTTTTTTTTTCTGCGTATACCTGTGTTTGCCGCTCTTGTCATTTACCTACTACGTGTGCGAATCAGTGGGCGGGGCTAAACAGGCAGTGATGTAGAAGCAGGTGTTGATCATCTTCTGCGGAGGCGGTGTTTATCCACACTATTACGTCATAAATTGGCACATTCCATAAGCTGTCGTTTTGGCAGACAGACTTCAGTGTAAGCTATTTTTAGTCTAACGAAAAAGTTTTGAGTTCTGAAACTTACAGGATGTTTTTATAGCACAATGACCTCTTATATGTCAAAAGATCAAGGGAATTTTGATTTCTCAGTTCATGACCCCTTTAAGTCATCAGTGAAGGGATGGGACATGAATATAGAATGGTTTTTTTAGAGCTATATTTATGATAATTTCTATGAATATTCCACTTTTAATAACTTATTTGTTTCTTCTCAGGATCACCAGACCATCCTGAGGGCTTTTGCAGTGAAGGACTTTGCTCCAAGCTGCACTCTTTTTGTTCAGATTCTCAAACCAGAAAACAAATTTCATGTGAAATTTGCAGGTACTGTTAAATCAGTCTTTGTAGGTGATTCCAGAACATTTCAAACAATGTACGAATGCAGCGAAAGACATTGACACAGATATTTCTCAACACAGCTGTACTGCTATTTCACCCTTCAGATCATATTGTTTGTGAGGAAGAGTTTAAATACGCTATGCTGGCCCTGAACTGCATCTGTCCTGCCACGTCCACCTTCATCACCCTGCTGGTGCACACATCTCAAGGCCTGTGAGTACACTAGCCTGATGACATATCAAAAGCACTTAAAGGAATAGTTCACCCAAAAACGTTTTGAGGCTTGCACCACCGCAAACCCTAGTAGTAAAAAAAAAAACTACTGTCACTAAAGACACTTTAGTAAAATTAACAATGGAAAGCTGAGGACATAGATATTTTTACATATGCATTTGTAGGAGCTTCCCTTTTCAGATTCCCTTTCAGATTCAGAATTTATGGAGTTAAATAAGTGGGCGTTTACATGACACTAAAAACATAAAACATTTTGTGTATTTTGGCCATTCATTTATGCGACAATGAAGATGACAATGACAATTTAGAGGCCTGAAAACACAAACTTTTGAAAACCATACCATTATTGTCTCTGTTTAAACTATAAAAACTGAATTTGTGAATACAGTGAAAACGTGTTCAGTCTATTGGTACGTGAGCAGACGTGTAGTTCCCCTTCTAGGGAACTCCACGCTGTGCCCCCTAAAGGGGCACATTGGGGAATGCAGCCTGCATGACCAGTGTCTGAAGCACGTGTGAAACAATGCCAATCTATTGGTCCACCTGGCCCATGACGTCATAGGCGGGGTGCCCGGAAGTATAAAAGGGCACCTGCTGAATACGTCATCCTCTTTGCTGTCTTCAGGAGCCGTTGTCAGATGCTGCAGATACTACTGGGTTATGACGAAGTGTGAGCACAGAATCGTTTCAGCCTGATCCTGCGAGATCGTGGGCAGAACTATATTCAGCTCGGGCCGTGCCTCTCTAATATGCATGTTATTGTGTATGGAGAGCCTCGTTGGGCGTGAATACATTTTTATACTCTGTGGAGAAATGCTTGCGAGCTTTCTTTCCCATGGTGTTTTCAGCACCTAGAGTGGTTATGGAGAATGTTCCTTCCTGTAATAAGCCAGATGGGTTTAGGAGTGGATCCCCCACAAAAACCTCCCGCCTATTGAGTTTAGGCTGAGTACACTGCTCCCCCTCTTCAAGGATTTAAGTGAGCAGTCCCTGCTCAGAGTATAGCTGTACAGAGTATTGAGCTTATGCTCCAGCTCAAGCTTACTTTGATCTGGAATATGGCGGTCTGAGGGCAGCTATGTTCTAGCCTGGCTTGGGTTCCCCTTGGCTCAAGCTCTCTCAAGTAAGTGCTGAAGTCTTTGTCCTGTCTTTAGCCTTATCTGAGGGAACTGCTATTTGAGGATAGCCGTGTCCAGCCCTCTAGTGTTTTTGGCCACGGCTTATATCAGGCTTTGATCGCGGACTGATGATGTTTATGTGTTCGCTCTTAGCGAATAATTTACTGATGGCCCAGATCTCCCTCTTGTGAGCCCCTGGTCAATGACATGGTGCTTCGCTAGCCTACCATGGGACTGACACGGATTGGGGGCCTCCTTAGTATAGCCATCTGAGGGTGGTTATATTACAGCCATTGTTATGGCAGGACGGGCTTACTTGAATACAGCTATCTGAGGCTAGCTGTGTCTTACTAGCAGTTGCGGTGAGCCCTCTCCTGGAGTGATCCCCTTTCCTAGAGACTAACTATCTGAGGATAGCTATGTGATAGCTCAGTGATTGCTCCCCTGCTTACGGTTTTAAGTAGTGGCCTCCTTGGGCTCTTGCCTAGACAGTGCTATCTCCCCTGCTAGGGTTGTAAGTAGATAGCTCACTCTCTGTGGTCTGGGCAGCTTTGCAGGAAGGTTTTGCCTGGCTATCTAGACTAGCTGTGTATGGTTATTCTGGTCTACAAGCCTTCATAAGACCTTTAGGACATAGCTATCTGAGGATAGCTGTGTTCTAGCTTAGCAGCTATTTCTCCTTACCGAGATTTAAGTAGCTACCTTTGAGCTCCTCTAGAGGCTTTCTAGTTTAGTCTATTCAGTGGTCTTGTGTATCCAGGCTTATATGGCTCACATAGCATAGCTATCTGAGGATAGTTGTGCTCTTAACTTGGGTGGGATGTTCCCCTTGATCTAATCGGGTTCCCCATTTCTGCCAAGTTGTGTGAGCAGCCCATGGCGCAGTGGCATGGCCCCTTTCTGAGGAAAGGCTTGGTGTACGTCTGTCGCTTCCTTGGTGCTCCCCCACCAGGTGGGCAGGCATGCGCCTCGGCATGGCTGGATTTTGTTCCCCAATGTGCCCCCTAGGGGGCGCAGCGTGAAGTTAGCTAGAAGGGGAACACATGTAACCCTGGTTCCCGAGAGGGAACGAGACACTGCGCCCCCTTGCCATGCCCTCGGCCTGCCTGTTTACGTCTCCTTCAGACAGCTACGTGGATGACTTATTCAGCAGGTACCCTTTTATACTTCCAGGCACCCCGCCTATGACGTCATGGGCCAGGTGGACCAATAGATTGACGTTGCTTCAGACACCGGTCATGCAGGTTTTGACGACGATCGTTTTGACAACGTTGTTGTCTATACAGGGCTGCAGACAAACAATTTTGATAATCGATTAATCTAATTACAACGATCAATCAACTAAACATAATTTATTTGATCAATTAATCAGTAGGCTTTGATTGACTATTCAAATTTTGCAGTTAGTTAAAACACTGAGTTACACAAGTTCTATATGTATTTATATATAGATGTGCTTTATAGCAGAAATTAAGTTGTAATTCTACTGAAAGTGAGACTGACACAGTTTTTTCATGTTTAATTCTGTAAAACTGCTTGCTTTAAAGCAGTCTATTGCATTAAGTGTTATATAAATAAAAGTGACGTGACTTTACTGGAGTGCCAATAGCAGAGCTGGTGCAACAACCACATTGTTATGATCAGATGCTTTCTTAACTGCTGTTTTCTCTTATCGGGGCTTTTACACATGACAGCAATTTTTGTTTGTAGTTTTGTAAAAGTTTCCCACATTCTACTGGTTTGGTTTCGTTTGCACATCTCTTGAGCATGTCTTCTATTGGATTACAGCCTGGAGAGCTGAGTTACAGTCTTGCGCTACAGCGCCACACTTGTCAAACCACGTTATTGCAGGCCCTTACATTAGGTCATATGTGACTAAATGACTAAAATATTTGTAGACAATTTATTGTTGTTGTTGTTCGCAATGCTGACTTATCGTTTCAGACCGGTCTGTATGTGAAACTTCAAAAATGCAAAGAAAAATTTTTTTTTGTACATTGTTGCCATGCAAATGTACCCTAAATCATGCAAGGTGATTTACTTAGGTTTGTGGTAGTCAGTTTACTGATATTTATGCCATTATTTAACACCCCAATAAGCACGTCTTAACCTATTTTGTGCCTGCATTGTTAGTAGGTTAGACACCCCGATTGCTCTACTTGTTTGTGATCCTACACTAATTTGCGCTGGTAAATTGCACTGTGTTCTTTAATTTGCAAATTGTCAGTAGATCAACTTTCCACTCCCATAGGCAATTGCGATCTCACGCTAATTTGCCCTTTTTAGTGAATCTGGCCATTGGATTTTGTTATTCACTCACCCCACAAGTTGTAAAACTCAAAAGCAAAATTCTATATGATATGATATTATGTGTGTATCTCTGCAGAGAGGGCCAGCATTCTCCTGAGGACTGGCACAGGATTTATGGGAAATGCTCAGGAAATGAAGTGTACAGCATTGTTCTGAAAGAAAGCATCTTCTTTTCTGAGTATGAGGGAAAGAGCTTCCCTTATGCCTCCTTTAATGCATATAATAAGTGAGTATGTGGGAAAAGCATATTTGAGAAATGCATTAAATCTTGCAGTACAGTAAAAATGACATTTGATTCCTCAAAAATGGCCACTTCTTACTTGTGTAGATATCTCTATCATGTTTGTAGGTACGGCATCAGTCTCATTGGAGTCTGCCCTGACGACACTAAGAATATACTGCTGAACCCTGGTCCTCAGCACATCATGGAACCTTTGGACGTGTGCTTCTACATCAGTCTCACCAAAGAGGAGAACTCCTGCTTTAAGGCCAAGAAAGGAAACAAGACTCAACCTCCAACCAGCAGCGCTATTACTAGCATGGGTCAGACAAATAAACATTATAATAATTCAAAGAAATATAATGTACATATCACAGCAATACCATTCAAAAGTTTGGGGTCGGTAAGATTTTTAATGTTTTTGAAAGAAGTCTTTTATGCTCATCAAGGCTCTATTTATTTGATAAAAATTACAGTAAATGCAGTAACAATTTGGTAATATTGTGAAATATTATCACAATTTAAAATAAATTCTTTCTATTTTAATATATTTTAAAATGTAATTTATTCCTGTGATGCAAAGCTGAATTTTCAGCATCATTACTCCAGTCTTCAGTGTCACATAATCCTTCAGAAATCATTCTAATATGCTGAAACAAAAATCAAGAAACATTTCTTATTATCAATGTTGAAAACTGTCACACTGCTTAATATTATTGTTGAAACAGTGATATATTTTTTCAAGATTTCTTCATAAATAGAAAGTTCAGAAGAATAGCCTTTACTGCCACTTTTGATTTAATTTGTCCTTGATGAATAATTGTATTATTTCTTAAACATTAAAAATCTCCTCTTTTTTTATGTTTTGTAATTTTTTAATATATTTTTTTCTTCTGTAAAACACAATTGGTGAATTTTTGAAGAGTATCCTGCCCACTCGTTTCCATATAATGTAAGTGAATGGGTGTGTCGACTTACAAAATGACAAAAAGCACCATAAACTTCCCCTCAGCCTTGGTGAGCATAAGAGACTTTTTTCAAAAATACTCCCATTTCTGAAATGAACGACAAATGTCACACATACTACGCAAGTGGTGTATATCCAAACATTTTAAATGTCTGTGCCATTATAATTTTGAGAGTTTCAGCAGAGAAGTGTTTCATTGTGTAACAACTTAAAGGGGTCATGTGATGTTGCTAAAAATAACATTATTTTGTGTATTTGGTGTAATGAAATGTGTTTATGCGGTTTAAGGTTCAAAAAACACATTATTTTCCACATTCTGCACATTATTGTTTCTCCTCTATGCCCCGCCTTTCTGAAACACGTCGATTTTTACAAAGCTCATCGGTCTGAAAAGCGAGGTGTGCTCTGATTGGCCAGCTATCCAGTGCGTTGTGATTGGCCGAATACCTCAAGCGTGTGACGGAAATGTTACGCCCCTTACCATATTGTGATGCCTTGTCCCGGCCGGAGCGACGAGACAAAAACATTAAAACCTATTATAAACGAGGCATTTGTTGCATCCAGTGGGGACATAATTACGGATTATAATGACTTATACTGTCTTTTTACGCGTTGCATTGCATCGCGCCGCGTAAACATAAAACCATGTCTGCATTTGTGATCGGAGAAATGACAAACTACAAACGCTACTCTACACTGCTCAAAGCTTGCGTTTGAATCGTCAGTGGCAAAATCTTTCAATATAAAAAACGTACTTACAGTCTGTGAGTCAGAACAGCCGGCATTGTAGTCTACTCTACCAGGATCAGGAAACAGTCCTCCATAAAATGCGCTGCACACACCTGAATATTTGGGTTGAACTGTGTTAGAACGAGCCGTTTTAGGTAGGCGTGGTTGACTCTTAACCTTTATAAAGAATATCTCTTTGGATTTGAGACTTTAGTCTTTGCAACTTTACAGATCTTCTTTATGCACCAAGAGCTTGTAACACGTCAAAGAGAAAAGAAAAATTGAAATCGCATCATATGACCCCTTTAAATTTCAGACATTTGGTGCACTTTAAATTCTTTCAAAAACATGTGGATGAAAAATGTGATGTTGTTTCTATATTTTTGTCTAAAGGTTTTTGTTTGTATTTCCTAAAGGTACCATGGCTATAGACATGCAGGAAATTAACATTCCGTCCAGTTTAGGTTCATCGCTCTCAATTGAAACTAATACATCTGAGAAGAGAAAACCAAACATGGTTCCTGTTCTGGTATTGCCTGATTCACCTTCCTTTCAGACTGGCAACCTGCTCATCGATGAGTCAAAGAGCCCGTGTCAGCCCTGCACTAGAAATGAAGGCAGCAATGGGTAATTATTTCTTTCACTGAGAGAGAAAATAATCTGCTTGTTTGATTAAATGTCAACAAAGAAACACTGAGTAATGTCAAGACGGCTGCTACGGGAATGAGATCTCCTGAACTTTTTTGCAGTTACATTAAGGGATATCCTCCAGATTTACCCTACATCGGAAGCTCACCGATACTTTGCCATTTACGGAAAGAGAAAGCACCCAAATGTTGTATGCAGCTAGAAAAGGTATTACATACAGTATCTTGATTACACTTGGGTGGACAATCTAAATTTACAACAATAATTGTACTAAATTACAAGTAGAAAAGAAAAGTTTAAGTTAAAGTGATTAAAAGCAACAGTAAAAACATTTACAAAAGATTTCCATTTCAAATAAATGGTGTTCTTTTCAACTTCTAAAAATGTATCACAGTTTCCACAAAAATATTAAGCAGCACCGCTGTTTTCAACATTGATAATAAGAAGAAATGTTTCTTGAGCAGCAAATCAGCATATTACACTGATTTCTGAACGATCATGCAACACTGAACAAGTTGTTTCCATTGTGGTCCTTGATAGTAATATTGCATTGCTTTATTTTCATGTCAGTTTTTGTCCAAGACCTGCAACCACAAAGACAAAGAAGATGTCAAAGCATACGGTTTGAAGAATAAGCTCATCATTGTGTCTGCTGAGACCACCGGAAATGGCCTGTACAACTTCATCCTCCCATTACGAGCCTCTTACAGATCAGAGAATGAACTGTGTCCCATCGTGCTGCTCTTGGAACATGAGTAAACATCCTTTATTTACACATTACTCTCCTTCACCTCGTTAATTGAGCTTTACTTTAGTTGCCAATATCTTGTAGTCTTGTAGTTATAGTTACATTTTCCCTGATGTCTACATAATATTGAATTTCTATTTTTTTAGGCCAGGCGCAGAGTTTCTTGAGACTGTCTGTTGGTTCCCAATGACATATTACTTGCTTGGATCAATCGACAGGCAAGAGACATTATCATGAAACATGAAACATTATCGTGTTTGTTTGTATCCCATCCTCAAATAATCCATTTACAATTTGTCGTCCGCAAGAAGATAAGCCTGCTGTTGTACACTGAGTGTCACCTTCTTGGGATAACAAAGACATTGTATTAGCTCACTCACTTGACAGTAGAGTGCCGAAGGAACAAGTCCTAAAACCCAGAAACAAATGAGCATTTTTGAACTTCTGATTCCATCATTCTGAATTCAGAAAACCTGGGTTATTGTCATTCTAAACCCCACTTTTAACCCCAGGTGTAGTTTAGTAGTGGGGTTAGCACTGCTGTTTACCCGGGGTTATGAAAGCCTACTCTGGAGCAAGGTTAGCACTGCTTATGTGGTGCCAAATGTGTACAGTGTAAAACAATGTCATGTTAGAATGTTATGGCTAGATGCTTAGTAACAGATTCCCACTCACATGCCTCGTATTCATGTGCTTTGGACAGTCACAGAAACATTGTGCATTGAGTGAAAAATGGTGGCAGAAAATTGATCATTTGGAGGGAAGAAAAGACTGTCTCATACCTTCATAGACCAACAATGTAATTCCAGAAAAACTAGTAGTATAGTCAGCAATATGTAAGATGCTAGAGCCATCATGTAAACAGACCACACGTTACGTTCATCTGATCAATGACACTGACAACGCAAATAGGAGTGTTGCGTTGAATCACACTTGGGGGAAACTTCGAATACTGAAGCCTGATTTGTTAACATTTGCGCAGCTGCACAAACCTCTGGCATTTCAGCCTACCAAAACAGGCAGTACTGACTGCCTATATAAGTCAGCCCTGAATGACATTCAGTCATATTCTTTCGACTGAGAAGCGGCAGCGTCATTAGTAACCAGAGCGTTCCCTTTTGAAATGGTCTCTCACATTGTGTTAAATCACGCATGGGGAACAATATACCATAGCGCCATGGTAGAAGTGCAGAACAGAAGCCGTCCTGCAATCCCAGCCCTAGGGTGCCGCCATGAGGGCCCTAAGAAACATAGGCTAACCTGTGAGGCTCAGACCACCGGCTGGAGCACGCAGTCAAGACACTGTAGACCACTCACTAGGGGTCCAAGACAATTATGTGGACAAGATCCGTGCCTGAAGGGCAGGGATGTCCAGATCATAAATCCTAGCAAAGGTAGATGGTGATGACCAGCCAGCTGCCTGGCAAATATCCCCAATGGTAACTCCACTGGTCCAAGCCCAGGAGGAAGCCATCCCCCTAGTGGAGTGGGCCCTCACTGAAATGGGGGCACTCAGAGCCCACTGAGGCATAAGCCAGGGCTACTGCATGAACTATCCAGCAGAATAATCTCAGCTTCGTAACTGGCAGCCCTTTAGAGCGGTCTCCGAAACACACAACGAGCTCCTCTGACTGCCGATATTGGCTAGAGCGCTCCACATAAATCCTGAGGGCCTGGACCAGGCAAAGTAAGTTAGCTTAGAGTAGAGAGCACTTTAAGTTAGTAACCTAGCTTGGGTTTGAAGATGACCTTACAGTCGTTTGGCCCAATCGCCAAACAGGAAGCACTCACCAAGAACACTTGAAAGTCACCCACACACTTGACAGATACTAAATCTAGCAGCAGGGTGGTCTTAAGCAACAAGGACTGGAAGTCAGCCACCTGGAGCGACTCAAACGGAGGGCCTTGATGACTGTAGACAGGTCTCAAATAGGAACAGTATGAGGGCAAGATGGGTTAAGTCTCCTGGCTCTATTGAGCATGGAAGGGGTGCGCCCCTTATCCAGCAGCTCTTTTAAAAAGGACAAGTGGTTGCTAGCTCACAAGACGATGGGTCTTCGTTTTGGATTGCACACCAGTCAGAAAAGAGGGACCAGTTTAGGGCATAGAGGGAACCTCTTGCTTGAGAAAGGAGGTCTTTCCTCAGTGGAATCAGCCAGGGAACTGTTGATGACAGCTGTATTAGGTCGGGGAACCACAACTGGTTTCCCCGACCAGTTGTGGTTCCCTGACCTGGCTGGCAGAGTGGAGCCACCAGTAGGACTGAGCATCCAGTCTCCCTGATCTGTCTGATGAGCTGAAGGAGCAGAACAATCAGGGGAAAAGGTGCAAGGATCTGTTTCAAAGTCAGCATCCTGTATGGCCGCCTCATTAAGGAGCAATTCAGGAGACTGAAATCTAGGATGGGCCTGAGCCCACCATCTGTCTTTGGGATGAGAAAATGATGGCTTCCTGACTCCTTGTTCTCTGGTAGGACCGCTTTAATGGCTCGCTTCACCAGCAGATACTGCACTTCGGAGAGCATCATTGTCCTGAACTGAAGTTTGGACCACGCCTTTGAAGCAGGGAGGTGTGCGAGTGAATTGAAGCGAGTAGCCTCGTTTTATAGTTTGCAGAACCCAACTTGACATGCCTGGGATGGCTTCCCAAGACTGCAGAAGGGCAGCAAGGGGTCTGAGTTTTCTGGACGGCATGTTACTGCACAGAGGCAGTGAACTGACCACCGAGTTGTTGTGAAGAAGGGAAGTGCTCTTCAAGGGATCAGTGGAAGTGAGGGTGGCGGAGTTGGAAGAGTGAGCCGAGTAGGGTGAGTTTGTCATGAACTTCTGGAAAGAATGGTGCTGGTCTCTGATGGTTTGTTCGGCATGTGCAAAGTGTGAGGGATGGCCCAGCTTTGACAGTGTGAACAAAGGCTTCAACACCCAGAGCTAAATTGGGGATTGGAATGCAAACGCAAGACTTCTTCAAGGGATCAGTGGAAGTGAGGGTGGCGGAGTTGGAAGAGTGAGCCGAGTAGGGTGAGTTTGTCATGAACTTCTGGAAAGAATGGTGCTGGTCTCTGATGGGAGGCTCACTGGTGGTGCTCTGGCAAAAATATTTCATCCAGACGGCTCCGGACGGGCTCTACTGGGGCTGACCACTCCAAGCCAAGTTCTTGAACAGCCTTCATGCAAATGAGCTAGCTGTCCACACTGGGCCGTACACCACCCTTGGGCAGAAGGGAGCCGGGGACCTCCACGGAGCTGGACTAATCCTCTGTATTAGAGGCTGGCAGTGACATGGAATCATCGGCAGCATCCTCTTCAGATCCTCCAAAGGGTAGCATGACGCTCGTTTCAGATAAAGAGTGCTGATCCTCTTGGGAAAAAAGCACAGGAAATCATCTCGCTGTGGAGAGGGCGAGACATGCGGGCCTTGCGCTGGCATGAGCTCACTCGAGGCTGTCTTCTCAGGCCTCTGACTTCGCTGTTTCTCCCTCCGAGGCTCCTGGGAGGAGAGAAACTGGAGAGCATGGGGAGTGGAGAGGGAAGGGGACACCTTCACTGACAAAGGTGTTCTGCAAGTGTAGAGAGGCAAGACTCATGCTCTCACAATGAGAGCAATCTGTCTCAGTGAGCGCCGCCTCAGCGTGCGCACGGCCTAGGCAAGGGAAACACTCACTGTGCTCGTCTGACTCGTGCAGGGGTGCCCTGCATGTTCCACATTTGTGGTGTGGCAATCTGAATCAGACGTCACTGAAATTTGCTCAATTAGAACTGAAAATTTGCTCTGAACTGTCACCGGAAGCTGCAGGGGAGAAACGCTGAGAGGGAGAGCATCTTTCCTCTGCTGGGACTCTTCTACGTGAGTAGCAGGCTTCTTGTTCTTTGTCTTCAGAGTCCAGTGGGGAGATGATCTTTACAGTGAAGGAGAATGATTCAGATGAAATGGCATTCAGTGGCAACTTATATAGGTAGTCGGGCCAGCCTGTTTTGGCAGGCTGAAATGCCATAGGTTTGTGCAGCTGCACAAACATTAACAAACGTCAGGCTTTAGTATTCAGAGGAAAACTGAGCTTGCCCCAAGTGTGATTCAACACAACATGAGAGACCATTTCAAAAGCTAACCAGATTTCTCCAGGGTTTCTAATGAATAAAGACAATGAAGTCATGCCACCGTGGTGTAGGCCTAGTTTGTTTATAGCCTAACTACAGCTTTTCACTTTTGGTGATTGTATCTAGGCTTAAAATTCAATAAAAGTTGTGTTAATTTGATAATTTTGATGAACAAAATATGTAAGAATCATAAATTTTTGTTGATCGCAGAGCTTACATTTTCTGCAATAATTCAAAAGCCAATGGCAAATCTTACTGGCTTCTTGTCTAGGAAACCAGAGTGATGCAAATCTATCTATCTCCTTACAGTCTGGATGACCTGTTGCGTTGTGGCGTCTCGTTTGCTGCTAATATGGTGGTTGTGGATAAGGAGAGCACCATGTCCGCTGAGGAAGACTATATGGCTGATGCAAAAACTATCGTTAATGTCCAGACCCTGTTCAGGTCAGAGACTGCTTGAGATTTTGAGATTCCCAAAGGGTTCAATATATTTGAAATTACCCATATGTAATGAAGTTGCAATTTAGTACGTTTAAAATAAATTTCTTAATCAAGTACTTCACATGTCAACACTTCAAAATAAGTGTATTTTGTTTTTTTTTAAAGCATGGCAAAATATTATTAAATAATAATTGAAAATATGCTTTAAAAACTTTCAATTTGACATTATTACAAAGTGCACTATTTAAAAGTCAAATAAAAGTTCGCCAGAAATGAACATTTTGCCATAATTATCCACCCTTGAAGTTGTTTCAAACCTGTATGAGGTTCTTTCTTCTGTTGCAAACAAAAAAAGATATATACTTCTTCTAAATATTTTCTTTTGTGTTCAGCAGAAGAAATTGTTAGGAAACATAGTCATGAAACTGTACCCTCTTTAAGCACACTTTAGGTACACTCTTTAGTTGGATTTTTATTTCATTATAATATCATAGTATTTTTTTTTTTTTTTTTTTTTGTAAAAACATCCTTGTTAGATTGTAAGTGCTTATTCAGTTCAGTTAAGAGCACTTGTTTTTCACAAGGGAACAGAAGATCTTAAGTAACTGAAATGAATGGCTGGTCTATAGGTTGTTCTCCGGCCTCAACATCATCACAGAGTTAACCCATCCCGCTAACATGAGATTCATGCAGTTCAGTGTAAAGGACGGTCACACAATGGCCTTCTCCAAACTAGAGAAGGTGAGCAGACATTCATAACATGCTTTCTGTCACTCTCATTTGAATAAATCATAAAATAAGGGTTTTGCTTTGATTATACTGTTTGGGCCTAAACCTTCTTCCATGTTTTTTTGCATGGCTTCACGGAGCAGAAGGAAAGAGAGAAAGGCTCAAACCTGTCCTTCATATTTCGCCTGCCTTTTGCAGCTGGTAGGGTGTTTAGCATTGGGATGCTGGACACACTGCTATATCAGGTACTAAGACAACAAGTGCTGCTGCCTGTTGAGCTGAAATTATTTTTGCCTGTGTGCCTGCTAACGGCCACTAGATGGAAACATTAGCAAGAATGGAGATACTAGATGTAAACACTAGATGTCCTTACAAATACAGATCACATTACATATCAGTCATTATAGTTGTGGAACTCGATTTAGCACATTAAACTATTTTCTTGCCTATATACAATACCATTCAAATGTTTGGGGTCAATAAGTTTTTTTTTTTTTTTTAGAAATAAAAAAATACTTTTATTAAGCATGGATGCATTAAATTGATTAAAAAAAAGTCACAGTAACAATTTTTACAAAAGACTTCTACTTCAAATAAATTCATTTTTTTTCTATTCATCAAATAGTCCTGCACATAATTAAAAAAAATTTCTTAAGCCTTCTGAAGGTGTTAGGGATTCTATGAGAGAGGACTCAAATGCAGAATGAGTGATCAGTTTATTTACAATACTGACAGGACAAGAGATGGTGAGGAGGGGAGTGGACACAGCTCAAACAGAAGGCAGGGATAAGACTCGTAGACAGGCAGGCTGAGAGAAGGGTCCAGCCTGGGATGACAGTAGGCCAGTGAGGGGAAGAGGCTGTGCAGATGGAGACCGGAGGTTGGCAGCGGTGGCCTGACAGGAACACGAAGCTCGGCCACTCCACACTCATGGTCTCTCAGGCACTGCACAGGCCTAGCTGTGAGTCAGATCCAGGGAGAAGACCGGTAGCTCAGTCTGCAGGACAGGACAGGACAGGACGGGACGGAAGACAGACAAGGGTCTAGAACAAAACTCTACAAACTAATAAATAGGGAATACTCCATATAAAAAAAAAATAGTAGATGAACTAGCAAACACAGAGAAGATAGAATAACGAACTGGCAAACCAAAAGGGAAAGGGAGAACAATATAAAGGAGCAGAGCTCATGGTCTCTCAGGCACTGCACAGGCCTAGTTGTGAGTCAGATCCAGGGAGAAGACCGGTAGCTCAGTCTGCATGACAGGACAGGACAGGACGGGACGGAAGACAGACAAGGGACTAGAACAAAACTCTACAAACTAATAAATAGGGAATACTCCATATAAAAAAAAAATAGTAGATGAACTAGCAAACACAGAGAAGATAGAATAACGAACTGGCAAACCAAAAGGGAAAGGGAGAACAATATAAAGGAGCAGAGAACATGAGGAACAGGTGACAACATTCAGACAAATGAGGACTCAAAAAGGACTAGACTAGGGGGCGTGGTAATGGGTAACAAGGAGGCAGGACGAGAGGAGCACATGGCAAACACAAACAAAGACAAAGCCATGTGCTCTTAAACACAACACAAACTGGGAAACATTTAACAAAGACAGGACAGAGAAGACTGTCAGGTGAGATCCCTGGATCATGAAGATGAAGGATCATGTGGCACTGAAGACTGCAGTAATGGTGATGAAAATTCAGCTTTGATCCCAGGAATAAATTACATTTTACATTTTTTTAAATTACATAAATTAAAATAGAAAACACTTCTTTTAAACTGCAGTAATTTTACAACATTACTGTTTTACTGTATTTTTGATCAAATAAATGCAGCTGAAAGAAAGACTTCTTTCAAAAATGTAAAAAAAATCTTACTAACCCTGAACATTTGAATGCTATATATGCTCTTGCTGTTGGAAATCATAAATGTTCATGCCTTTAAATTTGTCTATAATTGTACTAGGAGTGCTTCTGTTGTTTCAGTGTTTTGTTAAGGATTATATGATAACCATTACCAAACTGCTGCTTGGACTAGAAACCACACCAAAATCTGGTTTTTTATGTTCCGTAAGTATGACGTTTAACATTAGCACAGTCCCCACATCTTCATTTAAATGACTTTTATTATATTGCTATTTTTGATGTTGCTTTAGCGGTGTTACAGTGTTGTATATTACATTTCAGATGAGTATCACAGAGGAAGTCTTGTGCATTGAGACGTATGGCAGACTGTATGAAATGCTCTCCTCCACTGTAGGAGACATTCCCATCGGCATCTACAGGACTGAGTCTCAGATACTTGAACCTCCTCAGGTTTCATTACGTTCAATCCAACCACAACATGTACACTTTTAGATCAAGAGAAACAGTTACACTGGGAAGCAAGGGATAGGCAGGAGCCAGCTTTACCCTTATTAGTCATTACTCAATTATGTGAACTCCACAAAACTTGAACAAAATTGGAATAGCCTTCCTGATAACGAACCCCGGACTTTATCAGGAAGGCTATTCCAGAACAATCATCATCCACAAAACGTATAATCTTTTTTTTTCAGGATTCTTTGATTAAGTATATGTATTGCCATTTTTTGTATCAATTTAATGCATCCTTGCTGAATACATTAATTTATAGAAAAAAAGAAAGATTGCTTCTGTCACAAAATAAAAAAATGATAGTTACACAAGATCATTGTGACTTTTTATCTCACAATTCTGACTTTTTTTCTCAGAATTGCATGATATTAACTCAAAGTTATGAGTTATAAAGTCAGAATTAAGTCAAGATATTAATTTGCAATTCTGACTTTTTTTCTCACAATTGCGAGTTTATATCCAACAATTCTGGCTTCTTCTTTTCTCAGAATTGTGAGATATAATCTCGTAATTGCAGGTATATAAGTCCAATTCTGACATTTTCTTATGACTGCAAGTTTATATCTCACAATTCTAACTTTATAACTCACAACTACGAGTTTAAATGATGCAATTCTCAGAAAAGAAGTCAGAATTGCGAGATGTAAACATGTAAAAAGTCAGAGAAGTTGCGATTACCTTTTTTATTTTTTATTTAATGGCAGAAACGGGCTTCCATATTAATAAAGCTTGGAACTGCCCAATGTCCAGTTTTTCAACAAATGAGAGAAATTCAGGAAAATTGAGTTGTCACTCAGTATGTGCTAGTTTTGTAACCAAATGTTGGTTATTGCCAAACATTTGTCCCTAATTTGAAATGAAAGTTGTTGGATAATTTTTCTCATTATAACATTGGTAACAAAGTTAAATACTTATATATAATAAAAACTGAGAAAATGCAATTAGATGTTACAATTTTTTGGAATTGTTCCTTTTAAAAAGAAAAAGAGAATGCAGTAACAGGGCTATTAAAATAAAAAATGTTCTGCAGTTAATTGAATAAAAGTTACAGATTAAGAGGTTAAAATTATGTATTGTAAATATCAGCATATTGGAAATATCAAGAACGACGAGACAAACCTTCTTTTTCTTTCTTCTAGACTCCACAATCCCAAATGTCAGACAAGCTGTCAGTCTTTGAGGAGGAAAAGGACCCGGAGGAGCAACAGCAGGGTCCAGACATCCAGACTCATTCTCTGCGTCGAAGGAGCATGCAGTGGGCATCCAATCTGCTGGGGCCGTGGCAGGCCGAGCGCGAAGCAGACAGACTGAGCCAGCAGCGCGGCATCCTGCTCTCATGCTCCGAGAGACAGGAGCTCGCTGAGCTGGTCAAGAAACGCATGAAGAACCTGGGGCTCTCCACATGGGGATTCGGTGAGATGCCAGTCGAATTTTACAGTGAAATCATTTCAGAATGAAGGATGTTATTTAGAATGTCTAGAACCGGGGTGCACAATTAACCTTTCCTTAATTATCTGACAAACCGTATTTAACTGGCAGCCTAACTTTTCAGTTTTCATTGACTTTGGAAGACGGTGAGCCATTCTAAAATGACTGAAACCCTCTGACAGCAGGTTGTCCAGATGAAGGCCAATAGCAGTCAATAGCAAGAGAAGATTTCTAGAATATTGCATCTTTACAATGTCACTAACTCATTCAAGTTCCCCAAAAAGACTGGTCGTCCACGAAAGACAAATGCACAGAGGACAAGATAACGTGGAGAATCTCAGTGGGCATTCGGTTCAGCACTGCAGCTGGAATTGCTTACCAGTTCAGCGCTGAACAGAGTAAGAATCTGTCTCGGCTTACAGTGTCTTGACCTTTAAGGGAAGTCAGAATGAAATGGAGCTTTTCCACTGCGTGGTATGGCTCGGCACGGTTCAGTACGGCACAGCACGGCTCGCGTTTCCACTGCAGTTCAGTACCGCTTTAGAGTGGGCGGGATTATTCACATGTCGTTATAGTTGCGCCGCCTCAATTCCCGTGACTCCTGAAAAACTTTTTCAGTCCGTGTCGCCCCATCAAGCTCTCGCTGGATCCGCTCCTCTGCTATCATGGTGGAGGAGGAAGTGTCATGGTTTGAGAGATGTTTTCTGCAGCAGGAGTTGGGCCTCTTATACAGCTAAATGGCAGAGTGAATTCAAAATTTTTATCAGAACCTCCTGCAGCAAAATGCTGTTCCTTCCCTGCGTTCATCGTCCAATTAGCCAGCAATTTTCATACAGGACAATGCCTCCTATCACACAGCAAAACATTGTCCAGTCCAGAGTCCTGAGCCAAACCCGATTGAAATTCTCCAGAAAATCCTTGGTGACAAAGTTATGGTTAAGAGTCACCGAACTGTGGAAGAAGAGTGGACCAAGATCACACCAGAGCAGTGTGAGAGACTAGTGATGTCCTGCAGCCACAGATGTGCTTAAGTCATTCAAAGCAAGGGCCTCCCTTCCTACTAGTTTTTGACTGCTGTAACCTTAGAAATTTTAGTTGTAATCTTTCTTCGTGCTACAATCATTGCTGTTCTCTTTTGATCACTGTGTTTTCCACAAAGTAAAGGCTTTTTGTTGCAGTGCCTTGGTTATTTTGTAAAACAGTGTTCTGCTAGCATGGTATAGCCACAACTAAAATTCCTTCAAATTTTGAATGATGAAGATTACATTATTTCTGAAAAAAATCAACTGTTCCTAAATTGTTCTCTAATTTTGATCTCCACTATATATATTTGTTTTTAAATGTATTTGATTTCATACCTCCTATTTTCAGTTGAGTGTCTCATTATCATTAAATGGTTTTGGAGTTCTGGAGTATTACACATTGTAATGACTGAAAACCTCTAGAACAGGGGTTCTCAACTCTGGCCCTCGAGGTCCACGCTCCTGCAGAGTTTAGCTCCAACCTTGATTAAACTCACCTGCCTGTAGCTTTCTAGTGATCCTGAACACCTTGATGAGCTTGTCATTGTGTATTTGATTAGGGTTGGAGTCAAAATCTGGAGAAAAGTGGACCTCGAGGGCCAGAGTTGGGAACCCCAGCTCTAGAAGAAGATTGTAGTTATATTGTTAACATTTGTCTCTCAATCCAGATGAGACGAATAATGACCAGAGCAGTCACTCATACGCCTTAATCAACCCGTCACCAGATACAAGACTGGAGCTCAATGACATTGTGTAAGTGAAGCTCAATCTATTGGGACACTGCATCAAATTCTAGCAAAATTGTGATTTCTTATTTTCTTACTTATTAGTCTATTTTAGTAGTTTTGCATTGTAATAGACACAATTTTATTATTATTGTTTTTTTAAATAATTTAAATCATACTAAATTAAATCCTGGGTTACACTTTTTGATATTCCACTTTAGACATTTTAATAACTATAAGTAACTTTGCAACTACATGTCAACTAATTCTCATTCATTTGCAACTACATGTCTACTAACTCTCAGAGTACTGTTAGGTTAGGTTTAGGGTTAGTAGAATAAGTTGACATATACTTGCAAAGTTTCTGATAGTCAGTATGTTGTATGTAGTGAACCCATCCAAATAAAGTGTAAGAAGATATTAAGCAGACAGTCTACTAATGCTCTAATGACTGCTAGTTGACATTTAACAGCAAAGTTACTTACTGTTAGTAGAATGTCTAAAGTGCACTAAGTAAAGTGTTACCAAATCCTGTACAGCTAACACTACATATAATAATAATAATAAATAATATATTATAATAATATGATCATATATATTATATATATTCACACATATATTATATTTTATTGATTGCCCAAAACAGTGCAATTACAGTAGGGGCGTTTTTTATTTTAATGAGAATTTAGAGGTGAAATTTGCTTAATTGTCAGTTGTTACGAAAAATAGAAAACTATGTCACTATAAAACAAATCTTACTGATCTAAAAAAGGACATTTTATTTTTAAAAATTTATTTCTTATGATTTCTTGTATAAATTTCATTTCTATATATTGTATTTCTGTTTATTGTCCATGCTGTCTGTTGCTTTTAGGATGCAGTATGACCTAGACATGACATTCAGCCTAATGGTTGTACCTTATATATGTGGCTGTAGTTTTATGTACTTTTCAATTGTATTTGTTTTGGTTTCAGGTACATAATCCGTAAAGATCCTGTCTCATTAAAGCTGAACAATACTGACAACAGCATGAGGAGCGATTTACAAATAAGAGACAGGAACACAAAGAATAATCTCTGAATGGAGATCACAATCACAACAGCTGTTTATCTTCACTGTGACACGAGTAATGTTTGTTCTTCAGCATCAGGTTAATCAGCTCTGAAAGCCATTAATGTATTACCTATACACAGCTCAGAATAATGCATGTAAAGCCTTCGCTTTATCGTACTGTATTTGTTCCAGCCAGCACGCTCCTGTCCCGCTTCATGCTAAGACTGACACACAGAGTTCAAAGGTCACAGACAGTGATCCAGTTAAAGTTCTGTTTCTGGCTGGAACTCACATTAGGCAGCTGCTGGATTCCTGTCAGACCCAACTGCAGTAATGCATGGATCTGCATTTCTCACATCCCACTATATTTATATACATAGTGCCAGTGTAACCCACCTATAAAGACCACAAAATATCTACCAATAAAAATATTGAAAACACTGGATATCAACAATTACTTAAAGTAATATTTCAACCCAAAATTAAGATTCTGTCATTATTTGCATGTTTTGTGGTGCTCTAAACCCATATGCTTTTACTGTTCTGTGGAGCAAAAAATATAATAATTTCACTCATATAGTTACAAATTCAGCTGAAAGCCATAAACTTGGGGAAATAATGACAGGAGTGTGTGAAGTGTGCAGGACTGGTTTTGATCACACAAGAGAAAAGAATCATGTTTTGATGAATCAGAATTATGACAAAAATAAAAAATTAGATGTCATAACTATGGGATAAAAGGTCCAAACAAAAAAAAAAGTTGAAACCGACTTAAACTGATGTCATAATTGATAGTCAAAATTTGGATAAAATTCAAAATTATGACAAAACAAAATCTAAACTGTGAGTCAATTACGTTGAAATTGACATGTCAAAACTGACAGTCAAGAGTCAAAACTGAGATGTCATTACAGAGACAAAATATCAAATGACAAAAAAAATTGAGTTAAATTATAACAAAGTTGAAAATGAGATAGTCTAAACTGAAAAGGTATTAAAAACAGATGCTCTACCAAGGGTGCGACACTCACTCTTAAAGAATTCCAATTTTATTGATCAAAAAACGCGAGGTTTCGGCCATAGTCAAGGCCTTCTTCAGACATCAAGAACACTGACACATACTGCATTTTGCACTGTTATAATCAGCAACAGGCGCTACTCTACTAAATGTGGGAATGGCTTCCTATCAACAAAAAAAGGAAATTAAAAAAAAGAGAAAAGTCCTAACAAGAAAAAAGCAACAACAACGATCAAATATGACATACCATAATTTTTGATTAATTCAATTCAATTCACATTTATTTGTATACTGCTTTTCATAATACAAATCTTTGCAAAGCAGCTTCACAGAAAATTAAAATTTCTACATTAGGAGTAGCCTATCAGTAGTGACTGTAAATTTATAAAACGGATAGTTCAGGTTCTACCATCTTGCTTGTTCCACAGGTTTATGTTAAGGCTGATATTCCCTGTGGCATCCTGATATTGAAGAACTTAAAGAGAGGGAATAAGATGAGCTGTTCTTTCTTGTCTCACGTCGATAGATTACATTTCCCTCTTAGTTTGGGGGCAGGACCAGATGACGGATACGAGGAAGTTAATATATCCATTTTGACTTTCCACATATGCACATACCCCACAGAATAGTCATGTTAATCTTTATAAAATTTGTCTTGTTTCCTCACTTGTAGCTCCTCATAAGCCTGCAAGGCTTTCTCTTTTTCAGACATTTTAAAGTGGTGAAGAAAAGATGATGATCCTCCATATTTTAATTTAATGCTGTTTCAATTCTGTTCAAATCAGTTTCAAGAACTGTTTCCCTCTTCTGTAAAAAAAAGTAATCGTCGAGATGTCAGTCCAAGCCAAGATGTCAGTCCAAGCCTTTTAAAAATCACCATCATCTTACCAAGAAGATATTCAGATAACGTTATGCCATGTAAATAGGTCTTATCCAAATTTGACTTGGAAGTTTTCCACTCATCCCACAGTGGAGATAATAGTTCTTGTCCATCATCAAAAAGAGATTCCTGAAGAATGGTACTTTCAAAAGGGTTGTCACTCAAAAAAAAAAGAGGTATAGTCTAAATTGAAGTCCATAACTGACAGTCCAAAGTATGACCAATTCAAAATATGAGATAAAAAGCCCCAATTATGACGAAAAAGTGGGAAACCATTTCCATCACATAAGAAAAAAATCTTTTAATGAATTATAATTCTGACACAAATCAAAATTATGAGATTGAAACGCCATTGACAAAAGTCTGTTATGGCAAGTTGAAATTGTCAAGAAAAGTCTAAGCTGACATAATAAAGGACAGTCAGATTTATTAGGGAAAAGTAATTTTCAATGTTTTATCTTAGTATCTCTTTTATATTAGTTAGGTTTGATTTGTGTGATTTACTAAAGCATTTTTTTTTATTTGGTGCTTCTGTAGAATACTGTGTGCAATATACGATTTTCTACATGACCAACTGTATTTGCCACGATGTGCAATATACTGTACACTAGAGAGACCATGCTTTAACAATCATCTCTCTTCCTTATATCAGTGTTGGAATCCAATGATTTCATCCCATCTTTTTTTCTGAGAAATTACATTACAGTTTTAGTCTGGCTTTCTGATAGATGGTTTTGCCAGTGCCATTTTAACGCCAACAAACAGACATTAAAAAATAAACCCTCTCAATGCACCAGCAAACACAAGATGCACAACATTCATAAAAATATTTAGAGCCGTTTAAAGTCGTTCTGTTCTAAAAAAATAAAAAAAACACTGTATAACGGCATGCTTGATAATGCACCTGCTAGCAGCTGAACCAGCCAAACCTGTTGATCAGAGACCATGGACTTTTTGTGCCTGTGAAATTCACTAATGTGACCGCACAAACTTACAACGTTGTCACAGGCTCTTCTGAAACAAAGAGGAAAAATATGCATCACTTGTTTATACATTTTTAATATTATTTTTTAAATAATAATCCACATTCAACAAAATGTTTAAAAACAGACATTACTTTTCAAACGCATATATACAAAAACCAATGCGTAAACGGCTTCAAATCACCACATCGCGTCTGCACTAAGCGAGATGCACGCGAGCTGTCACTTGCACAATCGAGGCAGTATCGTATCGTCACTACAGTTTATAATTTGCATTTCTCAAGTCTTGCCAGTATTCAGCACTCGCGCGCTCTAGAGACGGTGCGCTCATGCACACTCAAAGCGCAAACACATATAGCGTTCACCTCGTGCCTGCGCTGTTAAGGCCAATTCACATACACCTCACGAAATCAGGCTAGCTATTGGGCAACAATTTCCCCATTGTAAAAACAAAAATGCACTGCATGATCAAACAATTAGGTGAGAAAAAGGTCCAAAAAATGCCCCCCTCCACCCCTCAAAAAATCCCCCCACAAGAGTCACTAAAGAGGGGAATTCCCCCCATTTTCAAAAATGAAATTCAGGCCAAGAATGGATGTCTGTAAAAATCCTGATTGGAGTTGCACTATAAATAATTCTACATGTTAAAAAGAAGGCTTCAAAAAGATTGGTATTGGTGATCGTATCAGCAGGTACTGCTTCCTGTGATCGACGATCGGTGATCGGCTCCAAAAATCCTGATCGGCGCACTTAATAGTAATTAGATGCAAGCAGTATTTGCCTTAGTAAAAAAGTAATATATTTAAAATACATTTATTTCATACTAAGTATAGTTCAAACCTATTAACATATTTACTGACCTATTGCTTGAGACTTACTGATATAAAAATTATAATGAAATTTTATTTGGAGTACTACTTGTGCACAATCCACATTTCTTAATATTAAGCCTAAAATGTGTTTTAATGTCATTATTGATGAAGATTGTATGATCTTTGAATAATATCGATCTTTAAATGCAAGATATTTAAAGTGTACCTAAAGTATACTTGCAATAGTTTAACTTTAGCACAATCAAATATACTTGAAACGGGGCGACTGAGAGAGACGTGCGGATCCATATGCAAAGCTTTTATTAAAAGACATGGTCAAAAACAGGAATTGGTCAGACGATGGCAAACAGGTATGTTGAAGACAAGACAAAGAGTAGTCCGGTAAACAGGCGTGGGTCAATCGACGGCGAACGTAATCCAAAGGGCGAGGCAAAGGGGTAATTCAAAACAGGCCAGAATCCAGGCGAGAAGCATACAGTATCCAAACAGGGTGCGATGACAGGGGTAATCCAGAGCAAGCCAAAATCCAAGGCAGGCAGAGAACACACAGAAACGAGATACACAGACTAGGATCAAAACACGGGAAAACAGGCAATGAGCAAGACTAGATTAAACTAGGAACTAAGACTGGGGAAACTAGATTGGCTCCGTAAAGTAGCTATCACTAGGAGAGCGATAAACGCTAGACAATACTCGGCCCTGAATGGTGGTTAGGGCCTCGTATTTAAAGTGTGTGTGATTGGCTGCAGGTGAGTGCGTAATTAGTGCAATGGAACATGGGAGATGTAATCTGGGGTGACATGTAACAGTCTGTGTAATAGGAGAGTCAATGTAATGGAAGAGCGATCTCTGGTGGCAATCGGACGGAAGGCCACGGACAGGATTTGTGACAATACTTAAGTATATCTTTAGTTGGACTTCAGCACTACTTCTGCGGAATTAAAGTGCATTAAGTACAAAATTTGTTCCAATTTAGCAGAATTTAAGTATAGGTATACCAGTTTAGTATACCAGAAGCACATTTAGAAGTAAATTGTAAAATTTTTTTTTTACAACAAAGGAATACCAACATGGTAACTTCTGAACAAAAAGACTTGGTGAATGGGCAATGATAAAACAGATGCAGAATCGATTCTTCTATAATATTACAAAAGGAACATAAAGAAGATACATTCTGAGAAAACCTGCTCAAGAGTAAGTTACAAGGTTAATATTTATGAACAATCTTGAAATGGAGTTCTTTAATTTTACTTGGAATACAAAATTTGTGAGGAGAGGTCCATAGGTTATCCAGAACAGAGTTCGGATAACAAATATTCCATTTAGATCGTGATTTAGGGAGGTTCCTTGGAGTTGAAGAAAGCGCATTTCTAATAAAGAAGTTATTGCATTTTTTATCTAATACATGAATACCATTGATTGCAAGTGTAGGAATATAATTATTTAAATAGCCATGTTTTAAATAGCACCTTTAAATAATGACTCGTCCCTGGTCATTGTCGCCTATCAATGACGTAATATCCGCATATCCTCAGTTTCCGCTTGTAGAAACTATGGCAACACGGACACAAATGCTGCAGTACAGTTAAACTAAATCCATTACGGCTGTCGCGAATAAACTGAAAATGAAAACGAAAAGTGTTGACCGCAGCATTAAATTTAGATCTGCTCAATGTTGCACCATGATTTTTTTAACCTGTTTTTACAGTGTTGCTCATAATAACCAATTACACACTAGTGGCGAAAACTTACATATTGT